TTTCAACTTTAAATTTAAAAGATTATTCAGAAATAAGATCTGACTAACAGACAAGGAATTCTGGGAAAAACAATTAAACATATCGATTCTGATTTTCCTTACTAATGGATATCTCATAAAAGTCATGAGAATAGAAGATAGCAACTTTGATATTATGAAAAGAAAATCATGAATGAAAAGGAATAAAAATGGAAGTTTGTCATCCTGCGAAATAAGTCAGAAGTGCGATCGGCCCTAAGATCCAGTTGATTGCAAAGGAGAAAAAAACATTCCTCATTAACTTGCCTATACAACACCAAGAGGTGAACAAATTGAAATGCTCGAGAGTTTGTCACATAGCATTCACCGATTACAATCGAAAGTATACTGATGAAGCAGGAAAAAAGATCAGCCTAAGAACCAAGGAATACCAAAGACTATACAGAAACAAGGATACGGAGAGATCAGAAATAGCATAACACATTACGTGTACGGGAAACGATATCCTTACTGATATAAATCTAATGGACAGGAGACTGGAATAAGGCATAATTAAGGAAGACTTTGTGCAGTGTATAAGCAAACGTGAAAGAGATCATCAAAAAGAAAACGATTAAATCACACGTTTAGTTAGAATAGGAAAAGAAGGAATTGCAAAGAACAATCGGAAATCAAGAGAATACGTTCACAATGAGCCTAGTCAAACCAAGTAAACATCCACAAGATCTTGGGGGTTGGCAAACAAGGAACTGGGAAATATAAGTCATAGGTTTGGCATTATGAAAAAAAGCGTGAGGTCAATTCGACCAGAAATCCACTCAAGAGATGCAGGGGAGACCAGAGACAGTTGGCTTACAGTACACGAGGTTAATCATGGAGGCGGTTTATAAAGGGCCTGACCACGAGAGTTACTTGGTGCACAAGCCAAAGTAGGATAAGGAGGAATATAGTATTAGGTTAGCCTGTCATCCAGCTAACAGTTCAAGTTTAGGTGTGCGTACCAGAACAGGATAGATGCCACGACTGTTCGGCAGAAAGTTGGTCTATGTTTGCACATCATTTGTCTCTTTAACAAGTTGTGGCCTGGTACTAAGGATAGCAAGGCTCAATGACGATACAATCTAGGTTGAAGGCAAAGCGTATGAGAACTTACACAGGACGATTCCGGAAAGTATCATGACTACTATAGCAAGGTGTTTTTATCTAGGCCATCCTGACAACATGACGAAGTTAAGAAAATCAGGATAAACCACTTTTATAAGTTACATCAATTCAACCATGTAAAACTTATGTGTTTGTGCCAAAATCGTAAACGAATTAGAACAGTAGGGTAATACTTTAGTAGCTTAAATCAATCAAAATGCGTGCACTGGGTAACTGCAGTTTTTCCTCCTAAATCCATACTTAGAAGAATCCATTTTGAGTTGGCGAAATGATGTTAAAATTTGGCTAATATAACAGGCCGAGACATGCTCATAAATTCATGCAGCTAGACATGTGGTTGGATGTATACATGTAATCGTCTGGATATACTGAGTGTAATAAGGGAGATTTAGGTACATGCAGCCAACTGCGACTAGGGCCACCATTCATCGTGTCGCCATGCTATGAAAATGCAAGTGTCCCACCATAAACCTACCATACCGGTTCCTCAAATAAGAGGCCGAGCGGCCACGGCGGAACTCGATCATATCTTGAATAAATAGCAAGGAGAGGAGAATTTAAGTTTCGCGAATATATTACGAGTAGCCAGTCAGACAAGTATTATCAAAGTAAATCAAAAACCGAGTAAGTACCAAAGGTGTCTAAAGAATAAAGTTAGGACCTATGTTGCCGGATTTCCAAAATCGAATTTTTGCTTCAGGTTTGTCGACGCCAGAAATAAGCCGGTCTTATAGTTCGAATTAAAGTTAGACTAAATTCAGCCGAAATAAGTGGAAAACAAAACATCCGCCCGAGAATCCGAGGAAAGAAATAGATGACAGGGTTAAGTACACTATGTGCCATGCTGAGGCAGCACACTGACCTGGACAAAGTACATAGATCTGCTTTTGGAGAGTAGAGTCCAATACACCAGAAGATAATGCAGCTGTATCAGGAGCGACGAAAGACGGCATGGAATGAAGACTAGCTGAAATAGGATTTGGCAAGTACTGGGTCCCATTCACCCGGCAGTAAATTTGATTTAGACCAATAAGGTCGAGTTGGCCACAGTGAATAAAGGTCCGCGAGAGAGTTGTGGTCATGTTTCGCTTCTCGGTAGAATCGCAAAGCTTAGTGGAGACCTCTTGGCGGCTTGGGGGAGACGTAAACTCACTAGAAGAGGTCATCTAATGAGAATAAAAATATATAAAAGGTTATGGGAAACTAAGTTAAATGTATTCGGCTAATATAAAGCTAAAAAAGGCTACGATTAAATCCAAGAATAAACTATCTTATTCTTCATTACTACGAAATAAAATCATTTTAGTCATGGATAGTTTTTTTATTTTATCTGACTTATATTATTCCAATATGTGAATTAAGTAAGGATGCTAAAAACTAACGATTTTTAATTGTGAATACCAATGCAGCATAAAAGACTAAATAAAAGGGCAAAACTTTATAGTAGAATATTTTTGTAATAATGATGAAAATTGCCTTTATCAACCAAGATCAAGGCTTAACTTTTCAGGATGACAGTGAGTCTCGGAGTTCCGCTGTGTTACAAGAGATATGCATAAAGTTAGGTACTTTGGTCAAGTCTTTGTTTCTTGAAGGCATAGAAACAGACTTCATACGAAGTGAAAGATTCCTACGCTATGGCAAGAATAGAGATAAGCATTTAAGAATAGTACGAATAATAAAAAATAGGAAGTGCTATGCAACTTTCGGATCCCAGGTACTCAAAGTGAAAATGTAGCTAATTTGGGAACTATATATATGCTAGGGAATACGGCTATTCACTCGGAACGATAAAGAAAAATTCAACATAGAACATGAAAAAAGTATCTGTAGTAGCTATAGTGCACAATATGGTGCAAGAGCTGATTGTTTAGCTATGTACACTATAATTAAAAGGCCAATGAATCTAATTAAACCCCACTCTTGAAAGAATTACTTATCCAAGATGTGCAGCGGTTTCAACCCAACTTTGGATGTACAGCATCTAAAAAAGAGTACCAAACAGCCACAGCACTATGTATAAGCCTAGATTTGAAACATCCATATGGTACAAGACATTATGTATTATATCATCCTATTCAGCGTTCTATATTAATTACCATTTCTTGGCTTACTGCTTAGTGAAATCTTCTTTGAGAATGGTATCACGCTCCGATGATATCTGTGACGTTTCAGACAAAACACGAAACGGATTTATCCGAATCACAGAGTAACGAGTTGAGGACCTTTTCCAATGAGTATAACTTACCAATCCCTTTCGACTCACTTTTCTTTCAAAAATAAGGCCCAGTAACATTATATATCGTTGAATTGCCAAATGGCAAAAGATGGATGGATATAAGTCACAAAATCTAAGGGGCTTCATGGTCATACAAAAATTAGCTAGGTTATTCTGGTTAAAATAATTTGGGAAAGATTTCGTGTTTGGGTAAAAGGTGGAGAAAGCAAGTCAGCATTCGGGTTTAAGAACAGAAATCCACGAGGCCAACGCGCTTTTCACAGACTTCTCCAGTTATATGCTTCAATAGTAGTCATGGTGATTCGATTTTATAATAGTAAAATTGTCAATTCAAGTCGCCTTTTACCTTAGCAAACATCACCACTAAAAAATGAGGTTCTTATCAAATTTACGGTTTGATTTAATTTCACTTGGTGCATAGGTATACTGAGCAAATGAAAGATAAAATAGATAAAACCTCACAATAGTGAGGTGTATAGAGAAATAACGTACATTCTTTGTACTAAGGAACCAATGGATGTTGGAACTGGGATAACCGCAAGTAGTCTGACACTGTAAACAGAGAGCAAAGCCAGACCGTAAGTCGTAGGGATTTGTGCGCGTACCCAACCCGATCTGGCGGGTTATCTCGAGGGGCACAAAGCGTGCATGAGAAGACATTCGTTTGTTTAATGTACCTTGAGCAAAAGTGGCCGAAACCAAGGTCGTTAGAGCTGAAGGGGAAGTTGTTGTGGTAAGGGCGGTGGCTGAAAAAGAGTCGCCCAGTGGACAGATGTTGTCATCATAGGCGAAAATTCCAAGGTTGGATGGAACATTGGAGGTAGCAGCAGAGGAGCCGGGCTCAACTTGGGTAAATGAGGTGACACTCATTGATTGAAGTTGAGCGCGAGCTTGATGTGTAGAGATGTAGATACAAAAGTAGTCAATGATTAGTGCGTGATATAGAAAAATGGCAGTCTAACGTTCCAGCAAATAGTAAAAGGAATTTAATTTATTTTATTATGTAGCCAAGGAAATGTAAAATAGGAGCCATACCTACTTGTGTAGGCTCCAGTGATTTGGAAGGACAGGCTTAGGAAGTAAATGCATTGGGGTTCACTTAAAATTATTAGTAAAAACAGTTAGAATTAATGGCATAGCTAATTTTATGATAGGTAGTAGTCGACTAAGGATTTTAGAGATAAAAATTGCTTTGTCTGCTCCTCTTCCACTAGTTTCGTGGCATGGTCCGCCCCCTTATCCTCTTATCCTATCTCTCTTGTCAGCCAGTTCTAGAAAATACCACATTTTCATATTTCCAGTCCCCAAATCTTCTTGATATCCAGCACTTTACTGTTGAACTTACTTCCATTTCGAGTGAAAGTGTTTGGTGAAGAGATTCGAAAGTCGACTCCACCAGAATAAAATGGCGGGTTCCTCTTGACCAGCTGTCGGCTTTACTAGAACATTAATGGTGATGCTGTCTCCGATGAAAAAGTGCCAAGCTTTCATCCGTCATATGACAAACATCATCATCATTTTATCCATGTTCGTTCATATTTTCAAGCTTAGGTAATCAAATTGTTTCACTTTACGTGTTTAAAGACCTTACAGTGGCGAATATCTCAATTAGCTAGATAAAATTTACTCTTATATATAAACCAGATATTCTAAGGTGAATAAGCCTAGATAGAGTAAAACTCCACCATGCAAATAGTATTTATGAGAGGCAACTATTTATATAGTGGTGGCCAGTTAACTGGTCTGTTAAGTCGTTGTATCAAGGTCGTTCGAAAAGGTGACTAAAAGAGATTCATAGATCGACTTCACCAAAAGCCTTTGAGTTGTGACAGTGGCTTGGTGAGAAGTCTTCGGCGCGCAACCTTGCGACCCCCGTTCTGTCATATGACAGACATCGTCAGAGTACACAACCAGCCTTTAGGAAACTTCACCTGACACAAAGACAGGAAAGGTGGCCGGTTTCAACCCTACCTACTAAGTTCATTTGACCTAGTTTTTGTGAAATGATGTAAGCGACAGAGGGACTTTGTAGAACGCAGAACTAGAGAAGGCTATAAATAAATTAAGGGCCATACAATCTTGGTGTTCACCTTTACTGCCTACTTATAGTCTAACTTTATTAACTTACCGAGATATCTAATGTTTTGGTATGCCAGTTTACGCTTTCCTTGCATGCATGCAGTTAAGTAAGGTAGCTTCGTGTGGCAGTGACAGAATAATTGCATTCTCATTTAAATCACTTAGATCTTGAGTATTGCAGTGTTGACGCATGTAAATTTATTCATTATCACAAGTATGGTGTAGGCAATGCTCTTGAGTCAATTATAATATGAAAGCCCGAACCAGATTCGAGGCTAATTGAGCCTTCTCCAGTTTTGCTATTTTTCCTGTCCCCCCTCCCCCTAATCCTATCCAATAGCAACAAGTAGTTTACACTCACTTTATAAAAAATTTCTTTTTTATTCCTCTCTACGCCTTCGCATAGCTGTGAAATCTCTATATCCCGCATAATATTTGGCTTAAGACTATTCTATCGGGAATCCTTTATTAGTCATATGTTCGGCCAATTGCGACTTTTGTGTCCAGAAACCAGTGGCTGTTTTTTTATTCAGATAACCTCGTATGTGTGACACCAAATCATGCCTACAAAGGAAATACCAAATGAGACAAATCCCCATAGAGACCTGACTTGGATAGAGGATCAGAAAATTCGCAAAACGAAAGTACTGAGAAATTTTGCCTTTTTTTTATACAGTTTTAGTGAAAGCATGCTAAACCTTCGTCCATAACATGAAAGCATAGTCAAAGATGAGTATCATTCTTACAACTAATTCGAACTAGTGGTGATGAAAGCCAAACAGATTACCCCTATATACTAAATAACTATAATCAAACCCCATACCTCAAAAAATTTAATAAAGCTGTGCTAACAAAACCAAACGATAATAGCCAAGAGTAATCCGCAATCTTCTGATGAGATCGACCCGAGAATGCCTTCACTATACATTTTAACCCAAAATTTAAGTAAACTAACACAATAGTGAAGCGAAAAGCCCTCAAGACAGCCTTGGCAACCACTTGTAATTTTTTTATCTTGGGCAGCGTTGCCGATCAATGCACTATATGACCCTTCCTGAACTGTCATGAACTTGGTGCCCATCGTCTTTAGTATTGTCCTGAAATAGGCACAGCCCAGAAGTTTTAGTCAGGAAGCACCATTAGTTTACTGTGTATTCTAAATAAGTGAGCAATCAAGCAGCTGTAATCAAAAAAGAAAATTATTTTTATCATTTCAATGGACTCAAAAGCTGGAAGCTTATTATTTGCTTTAACATTAATGCTTGTCGGATCATACTATTCGTCCGGATAAAAATTTCTGGAAAATTTTGGCGGGGTAAGATTAATCGGGGCTTATTAGTCTATCTGCGTTCTGAGACAATCTTCTGATAATGTCCTTTCAAAACAGCGAGATGACACTGACAGCCAAAGCCTGGACACTATTTGACTATTTTTTGACTAAATGGCTTTCAAGATCAAGCATAATTCTTGTCAAGGAGACGATATGAAAGAAACAAGTTTTGAAATGTCATTGGCTGATCATGTCACTTTTCATATTTCAGAAATTCCAGCCGACTACAAATTTGTAGGGCTTTTGATCAACGCCAGATACATCAAATGGTTTCAATCAAGCAGTATCAAATCGTATACAAAGTATAAAAGAATGGTATATGATTGTGAATCAGGGCCGCCGGAAGATGAGCCGATGACTTTTTCGAACAATCAAATTCTTTTATCCCCTCCAACCAACTATTCATTCAAGATAAAAAGTCGATTATCCCGTTTTTCTTTGAGAAAATTTAATACAAGCACTCCCAAAACAATACGCATCAACTTTGGCTTACTCTGGATCTTATTAAATCCGGAAGAGTGCGCCTGCTTGCGCACAGTATTGTATCATTTTGCATCGCACAAGCAGTTGATGCACCACTTAACCATAGTCCTTTCTTTATACCTCGTATTTTAATTTGCTAAGCCGGCTGACTTTCGTATGAGGAAGAATGCACTCTCCAAACGTTTAAACCTGAAAACATCCCCTAATGATCGCGTCATTGAGTCCCCGTCTGCAGTACGTCATTTGCTCTAGAATGGCAAAGGGACTTTGCAAAGACCAACTATAAAAAACCTGCATGCAGTATTTTATCGCAGCGTCTCCTTAGCGTTGTTGTACTACGAAGCAAACGACCTCAGCTGATGTGTTACCACAACGCATAACCTAGGAAAGATTAATCATACATTTTTGCAAGAGTACCGAAGCCAAAGCGCAGAAAAGTTTACTAACATGGAGTACTTTGTTAATCAGATTTGCTTTTGCATTAGGCCTTTTAAAAATGTTTC